CCCTGATCTTCATCTCGCTCCTCTTGAGGGAGTAGTAGAAGCCCTTCCACTGGGCCCAGTTGATGCCGTTGGCGTAGGACAGGTGGGGCCCGGCCAGGTAGAAGCCGTTGAGGTTGGAGAAGTGGCACGAGCGGAACCACCAGGCCCCCGACGACAGCGCCGCGCAGTTCTGAGAGAACAGGTCCTGGTCCCGGTCGAACGTCGAGAACTTCTGCCCGTTGTGGTAGCTCAGGGAGTCCCCTGGGGAGGGAGGGGGGAAAGGGGGGTGAGACAACCCCCCATTGACATGGTGGACCTCCCCTTGATGGTGTTGACCCTCATTGACCTGATAGACCCCCCATTGACCTGGTTGACCCCCCCTTGACATGGTTGACCCCTGTTGAGCTAGTTGACCCCTGATTGACCTGATAGACCCCCCATTGACCTGGTTGACCCCCCCATTGACCTGATGGACCCCCCAGTGACCCAGTTGACCCCTGTTGAGTTGGTTGATCCCCATTGACCTGGTTGACCCCCCCATTGACCTGGTTGACCTCCATTTACCAGGTTGATCCTCCATTGACCTGGGAACCCCCATTGACCCCTCCTTGACCTGGTTGACCCCTGTTGAGCTGGTTGACTCCCACTGACCTGACAGACCCCCCCCTTGACCTGGTTAACCCCTCATTGACTTGGTTGACCTCCATTTACCAGGTTGACCCCCCATTGTCCTGATTGACCCCCAGTGGCCTGGTTGACCTCCTGTTGACCTAGTTGACCTCCCCTTGATGGTGTTGACCCTCACTGACCTGGTTGACCCCTTGTTGATCTGGTTGACCCCCTACTAACCTGGTTGACCTCCATTGACCTGGTTGACCCCCACTGACCTCCCTACAGTTGACCTTGACCTTGTGACCCCCATCTTGATCCCCCCTTGACCTGGGGTTTGTTGACCTGGGAATCCCCATTGACCACCCTGTTGACCTGGTGGACCTCCCGTTGAGCTGGTTGACCCCCCATTGACCTGGTAGATCCCCCATTGACTTTGTTGACCTCTATTGACCTCCCTGTGGTTGACCTTGACCTGGTTGACCCCCATTGACCCCATTGACCTCCCAATGGCCAACCTTGACCTGGTTGCCCCTCATTGACCCCCATTGACCCCCACTGACCCCATTGACCTCTCAATGGCCAATCTTGACCTGGTTGACCCCCATTGACCCCATTGACCCCATTGACCTCCCAATGACCAACCTTGACCTGGTTGACTCCCATTGACCCCCCATCAACCCCATTGACCTCCCCAATGGCCATCCTTGACCCTATTGACCCCCATTGACCCCGTTGACCTCCCCAACGACCGCCCTCGCCCCGGTTGCCCCCTCCCTTTCCCCCCCCCCATTTCTCACCGGCGCCGCCGCCGACGAAGCCCCCGACGTGCAGGGTGTATCCGTCCTCGTCGGCGCTGACGGCCGAGGGCGACAGCGCGAAGGTGCCGTAGGTGGCCACGGCCGAGTTGTTCTCGAAGTCCTCGAGCTCCACGCGCAGCTCGTAGCGGTTCTGCAGCGTCAGCAGGTGCAGCGTCTGCAGCCCTGGGGGGGGAGGGGCAGAGGTCACGGGGAGGGGCCAGAGGTCACGGGGAGGGGGCACGGGGGTCGTGAGGGGGCTAAAATGGGGGCACGGGGCGAACTGGGGGAAACTGGGACGCTCTGGGGGCCGGGCTGGTCCCTACTGGTCTGGATTGATTTGTACTGGTCTGGACTGGGGAGATTGGGAGGGTACTGAGAGGTCTTAGGGGTTACCGGTTCCTACTGGTCTATACTGGTTCCCACTGCTCTCTACTGGTCTATACTGGTTCCCACTGCTCCCTAGTGGTCTATACTGGTCCCTCCCACTCCCTACTGGTCTATACTGATCCCTCCTGCTCCCTACTGACCCACAGTGGCCCACACAGTCCATACTGGTTTATACTGGTCCCTACTGGTTTGGCCCCGAGGGGGTCCCCGGGTGGGAATCCCAGCCCGTACTGGTCCCTACTGGTTTATACTGGTCCATACTGGTCGTACCCAGCCAGTACTCGCCGTCGGCGCGGCCGAAGCCGGAGCGATAATCGTTCCAGCCCCGGAAGAAGCTGACGGAGCCGTTGAAGCGACGCTGGAACACCTGGGGGGGGAGGGGCGGGAGGGGGTCAGGGGTGGAGGGGGAGATAAAGGAGAGGTGGGGTGGGGAGGGGCGGGAAAGGGTTTTTTTGCAGGGGAAAAGGGGGTGGGGGAGGCTGGGGAGGGGTGATGGTAAAAGGGGTCAGATGGGGGAGGGGAGGGGCGATAGGAGGCGTTTCCAGGGTAATTCTTGGGGGGGCTTTGAGGGTGGGGTTAAGGGGTGGGGAGGGTCCATGGGGGATGGGGAGGGGCAGGCCCGGGGTGGGGAGGGGCGATCCAGGGGGATACCTGGGGTGGTTTAGAAGGTGGGGAGGGGCGATAAGAGGCATTTCCAGGATGATTTTTTGGGGGTTGAGGGTGAGTTTGGGGGTGGGGTGGGCGGTCCGGGGGTGGGAGGGCGATCCAGGGGGATACCTGGGGTGGTTTGGGGGTGGGGAGGGGCGATAAGAGGCATTTCCAGGCTGATTTTTTGGGGGTGTTTGGGGTGGGTTTAGGGGGTGGGGAGGGTCCGGTGGGGGTGGGGAGGGGCAATAAGAGGCATTTCAAGGGTGATTTTGGGGGGTTGGGTGTGGGTTGAGGGTGGGGAGGGGCGATAAGAGCCATTTCCAAGGCTGATTTTTGGGGTGATTTGAGGTGGGTTTAGGGGGTGGGGAGGGTCCGTGGGGTGGGAGGTCCGTGGGGGGAGGGGCGGCACCGTCCACACGTGTCCCTCGGTGCTCATGTCGCAGTAGACGGGCACGGGGGCCCCCCGGGGACACGAGGTAAACGCCGTCGGCCCGGAAGCCCCCGAGTGAACGTCCTGGCAGTCCCGGGGGCGGGGAGGCACAGCGGGGAGCCTGGGGAGGGACAGGGAGGGTCACACACCAGTCCCCCAAACCCATCACCGGACCCCCACACCCACCCAGTGTCCCCAGTTGTGTCCCCAACCCTCCAAAATGTCCCCCAGTGTCCCCAGTGCCAGTGTCCCCCCCACCCACCCAGGACACTCCCAGTGTTCCCCAGTGCCCCAGTTTGTGTCCCAGTGTCCCCTCCCAGTGTCCCCAGTGCCCCCAGTCCCAGTGTCCACTCCCAGACCCTCCCAATGTCCCCAGTGTCCCCAGTTCCAGTCCTGGTGTCCCCAGTCCCAGTGTCCCCCCAGACACTCCCAGTGTCCCCAGTGTCCCCAGTGTCCCCAGTGTCCCCAGTCCCAGTGAGTCCCCCTCCCAGGACCCTCCCAGTGTCCCCAGTGTCCCCAATTCCAGTCCCGGTGTCCCCAGTCCCAGTGTCCCCAGTCCCAGTGTCCCTCCCAGTGCCCTCAGTCCCAGTGTCTCCCCAGGACCCTCCCAGTGTCCCCAGTGCCCCCAGTTTGTGTCCCAGTGTCCCCTCCCAGTGCCCCCAGTCCCAGGATCCCCCCCAGACCCTCCCAGTGTCCCCAGTGCTCCCAGTTTGTGTCCCAGTGTCCCCTCCCAGTGTCCCCAGTGCCCCCAGTGCCAGTGTCCCCCCCAGACAATCCCAGTGTTCCCAGTGCCCCCAATTCCAGTCCCAGTGTCCTTTCCCAGTGTCCCCAGTGCCCCCAGTCCCAGTGTCCCCCAGACACTCCCAGTGTCCCCCCCCAGACACTCCCAGTGTCCCCAGTGCCCCCAGTCCCAGTGCACACACCCCCCCCAGGACCCTTCCAGTGTCCCCAGTGTCCCCAATTCCAGTCCCAGTGTCCCCTCCCAGTGTCCCCAGTGTCCCCAGTCCCAGTGTCCCCCCGGACCCTCCCAGTGTCCCCAGTGCCCCCAGTTTGGGTCTCAGTGTCCCCTCCCAGTCCCCAGAGTGTCCCTGTCCCAGTGCCCCAGTTCCAGTGGCCCAGTGACCCCAATTTGTGTCCCAGTGACCCCAATTTGTGTCCCAGTGACCCCAATTTGTGTCCCAGTGACCTCCAGTCCCCATCCCAGTGCCCTCCCAGTGCCTCCCAGTCCTCCCAGTCCCCTCCCACCCAGTCCTCCCAGTCCCTCCCAGTCCCTCCCAGTCCCTCCCAGTCCCTCCCAGTCCCCCAGTCCCCCTCACCCTGGGGGCTGATGGGCTGCCCTTGTCCCAGTGTCCCCAGTGCCACCAGCAGAGCCACGGCCACCAACTGGGGGGACATGGAGGGGGAGGGGTCAGGGGATTTGGGGTTCCTGGGGGATTTGGGGGAGGGGAGTTCCTGGGGGTCTCGGGAATTCCTGGGGGGTTCCTGGGGTTTGGGGGTCCAGGGGGTTTTGGGGGTTCTGGGGGGTGTTCTGGGAGGGTCTTGGGGGGTTCCTGGGGTATTTTCGGGGTTCCCGGGGGTTTGGGGGTCTCGGGGTATTTCCCTGGGAGGGGGGTCCCAGGGAGTATTTTAAGGGTTCCAGGGGGGGTTTTGGGGTTCTGGGGGGTTCCCAAGGCCTTTTGGGGGTCCCTGGGGTATTTGAAGGGTTCCTGGGGTATTTTGGGGTCTCTGGGGGTCCCCGGGGTGGGGTCCCATTGTTCTGGGGGTCTCATTTTGGGGTCCCTGGGTTATTTTGGGGTCCCTGGGGGGGTATTTTGGGGTCCTCGGGGTTGTTTTGGGGGTGTCCCTAGGGGTATTTTAAGGGTTCCTGGGGGTATTTTGGGGGTCTCAGAGGGTCCCCGGGGTGTTTAAGGGTTCTAGTATTTGGGGTCGGAGGTCCCCAGGGGTATCCTGGGGTTCGAGGTATTTTGAGGGTTCCTGGGGTATTTTAGGGGTCCCTGGGGCTGTTTTGGGGGTCCCGGTATTTCAGGGGGTATTTAGGGGGTCCCTGGGGGTATTCTTGGGGTCTCGGAGGGTCCCCGGGGGTATTTAGGGGGTCCCCGGGGTTGTTTTTGGGGGGCGGGCGCGGCCGGCGGTACCTCCATGGCTGCAGGGAGCTGCTGCGGCCCTCGCAAGTGCCCCGGGCGGGGCGGGGGAGGGGGAGGGGCGGGGGAGGGGGAGGGGCGGGGGAGGGGGGAGGCCGCGCCAGGGGCGTCTGGGACAGAGGGGGCCCCAAAAGGGGGAAAAAGGGGGCGGACCCAAATCTGCCCCAGTCCCCCCAAACCCCTCTAATTCACCTTTTTTTTTTTGGGAGAAATTCCCCCGATTTTGTCGCTTTTTGGGGAATAAAACCTTTAATTTTGCCCGGTTTGGGAAAAAAAAAAAACATCTGGAATTGTGTGTGGGGTTTTTGGGAGGAACATCTGGAATTGTGTGGGGGTTTTTTTAAGGAGAATAAAACCTTCGGTTTGCCGGGTTTTGGGACAAATCCGGGGGGGGGGGATTTATCCTTAATTTTGCCCCTTTTTCAGGAAAACGGCCCCAAATTTGCCTCTTTTTGGGGGGAAGACCCCCAAAATTTGCCCCTTTCTGGCGGATTTAGCCTTAATTTTGCCTCTTTTTTTTAGGAGAAAGGGCCCCAGCTTTGTTCCCCCTCACTTTGTCTCTTTTTAGGGATTAAAAACCCCTAAATTTTGTCTTTTTTTGGGGGAAAACGGCCCCAAATTTGTCCCTGGATGGGGGTAAATCATCAGTGACCCTTCATGGGGCAAAGACCCCAAATAATACCTATTTATGGGGGAAAACCCTTTAATTTTCCCTCTTTTGGGGGGTTAAAATCTTGAATTTTATCTCTTTTTCCCCAATTTTGCCCCTTTTTAGGACACCCCCCTTACCCCCCTCCCTTACGGCGGCAAATGCCCCAAATTCTGCCCACTTTTAAGGGGAACATCCCCAAATCTGCTCTTTCATTGAGAAAAAGCTCTTTAATTTTGGTCTTTTCAGGGTTTTTACCCTTAATTTTCTTTGTTTACATAGAAAACGCTCGGCTTATCTTAAATACCACCGATTTTGCCTTTTTATGGGGAAAACTCCCTCAACCCCGCCCCCTCTGGAGTAAACACCCTCCACCCCGCCCTTTTCTGTGGAAACGCCCCAAATTCCGCGTTTTTAAGCCAAAAAAAAACCCCAAATTTGCCATTTTTCGTTAAACCCGCCGCGCCGTTACCGCCCCCTGGCGGCCGGGAGGACCCCGTGCAGGGCGGGCCCGGCGGCGCTCACAAGATGGCGGCGGCGCATGGGGCACGCCGGGAGTTGTAGTCCGAGCCCATTGGTTAACGAATAGAAGGCCGTGTTTAGTGGACTACAACTCCCGGCGTGCCCGCGCGGCGGCGGGGAGAGAAGATGGCGGAGCTCGCGGTGCGCGCCGGGAGTTGTAGTTTACGTTCTATTGGTTAACAACCGGAGGGCGGGGCTAAAGGACTACGAGTCCCGGCGTGCCCCGCGCGCCGCACCGGAAGTGGAGGTGGGGGTTTCGCGTGGCGTCGCCTCAGCGTCGGCTGCGCTCGCGGCGAAGAGGCCGCTCACGGATCGCGAGGGTTCTGTCGCGATAGAAGCGGAGCTGTCGGCGATAGAGGAGCCGGTGAGGACCGGGGGGGGCTCTGGGAGGGTTTGAGGGGGGTCTTGGGGGAGATCGGGGAGAGATCGGCGTGGGGAAAGGGAGGGTGAGGCCCGCGCGGCCTCGGCGGGATCGTGAGGGGGAAGGGCGGGATCGTGAGGGGAGGGGGAGAAATGGGATAAAAAAGGGGGGGTGGAGGGGAGGAAATAGGGAAAAAAGGGGGGCTGGGGAGGGGAAAAGGGGGATCGGGGCGAAAAAAAGCGGGGTTGGGGTGAAAAATTGGGGTTTAGGGGAAAAGAAGGATCTGGGGGGAAAAAACGGATTTTTGAGGGGAAAAGAGATCGTTTAGATAAAGAAAGGGGGGTGTGAAAAATAAACGGGTTTAGGGGGAAATAACGGGTCGTGGGGTGGAAAATGGGGGTTTGGGGGGTGAAAACTGGGCGATTTGTGGGGAAAGAGGAAGTTTGGGGTGAAAAAAAGGAGTTTCGAGGGGGAAAGTGAAAGTTTCGGGGGAAAAGGGAGTTCGGGTGAAAAAATGGGGGGTTTGGGGCGAAAAAAACGTGGTTTGGGGTAAAAAGTGCAAAGTTTGGGTTAAATAAGATGTTTTGAGTGTAAAAGGATGTTCTAAGGGGAATTTCGGTGTCAAAAATGGCGTTTGCGGAAGTTGTGAGGGGAAAAAAGTGAGATTTTGGGTAAAAAGGGGTTTGTTTTGGGGGTGGGAGGGGAAAGTTGGAGTTTAGAGGTAAAAAGGGGGGTTTTGAGGGGGAAATGGGGATTTTTATGAGGGGAAAGGTGGAGTTTGGGGACTTGGAAAGGAAAAAGGGGTTTGGGGCTGGTCTGAGGGGGGAAAAGGGGATTTGGGGGTAAAAATCGAGGGTTTGGGGGGGTTATGAGAGAAAAAAATGGTTTTGAGTGAAAAAAGTGGTTTTGAGCGGCTTTGGAGGAAAAAAATGGCTGTTTTTGGTAAGTGGGGGAAAATGGGGGGCTGGGGCAGTTTTGAGGGGAAAAAAGTGGGGTTTGGGGAGGAAAAAGGGGGTTTGGGGGGAAGTTTTGAGGGGGGAAAAGGGGATTTTGGTGTATTTATGGGGGAAAAGGGATTTTGAATGAGAAAAGGGGATTTTGGGTGGAAAGGGTTTGTTTTTGTGAGCGGGAAATGAGAATTTTGAGGGGAAAAAGGGTTTTGTGAAGGGTTTTGGGTGAAAAAGGTTTTTTTTGAGGGAGTGAGGAGAAAATTTTGAATTTTGGGGGGGAAAGGGCGTTTTGAGAGGAAATGGGGTTTTTTTGGAAGTTTGTGAGGGGGAAAAGTGAAGTTTTGAGGGAATTAGAGGGATTTGAGGAGAGTTTTGAGGGGAAAGCGGAGTTTTCAGGGAGTTTTGAGGGGGAAAATGGGGTTTTCAGGCAATTTTGAGGGGAAAGGTGAAAGTTCAGGTGGTTTGTGAGGTAAAAAGTGGATTTGAGGAAGAAAAGTGGAATTTGGGGGGTGGAAAGTGTTTTTTTGGGGGGTGCGAGGAGAAAATGAGGATTTGGGGAGCGTTAGGGGGGTCAAAAGCGAATTTTGTAGTTAAAAAAGCGGCTTTTTGGATTTCTGAGGTAAAAAGGGGGCGTTTGTGAGGGGAAAAAGGGGTTTTGAGGGCAGGAAAGCGGAGTTTGAGGGGAAAAGTGGGGTTTTGGGGCAGTTCTGAGGGGAAAAGTTGGGGTTTGGAGGAATTTGTGAGGGAAAACGGGAGATTTAGGGAGTTTTGAGGGGAAAAAGGGGGGTTCTGGGAGGATTTTTGAGGTGCAAAATGGATCTGTGGAAATTTTGAGGGGGAAAAAAGGATTTTAAGCGGTTTCTGAGGTAAAAAGCGATTTTTGTGGCGTTTGTGAGGGGGAGAAGGGGTTTTGAGGGAGAAAAGTGGGAGTTTGTGAAGAAAAACAGAGTTTTTAGGGGGAAAAAAGAGATTTGGGGGGGAAGAGGACTTTTTTGGGAGGTCTGAGGGGGAAAGGAAGGTTTGGGGGACTTCTGAGGTAGAGAAGCGGTTTTATGTGGAGTTGTGAGGGAAAATTGGTTTTTTTTGTGGAGTTTTAGAGAAAATTGTTATTTTTGTGGAGTTTTGAGGGAAAATTGTTTATTACGTGGAGATTTGAGGGGAAAATTTGGCTTTGGGGGAGTTTTGAGGGAAAATGGGGGTTTTGTGAAGTTTTGAGGAAATTTGGGGTCCCTGGGGGTTCAGAGGGTGACTGGCCCCCAGCGGGATGTACAATGGGATCGGGCTGAGGGGGTGTGGGGTCATTGGGGGTGGAGTGGGCACAGGGGGGTGTCAGGAGGGGTCTGGGGGGGTTTCAGGAGGGGTCTGGGGGGTCCCAGGGGGTCCCTGGGGGTTCAGAGGGGGTGACTCAGCCCCCAGCCGGGATAGTACAATGGGATCGGGCTGAGGGGGTGTGGGGGCACAGGGGTTGGGTGGGCACAGGGGGTGTCAGGAGGGTCTGGGGGTTTCAGGGAGGGTCTGGGGGTCCCAGGGGTCCCTGGGGGTTCAGAGGGTGACTCGGCCCCCAGCGAGGATGTACAATGGGATCAGGCTGAGGGGGGGTGGGCACAGGGGGTGTCAGGAGGGGTCTGGGTGGGCTGCAGGGGGTGTCAGGGGGGTCTGGGTGGGCACAGGGGGTGTCAGGAGGCTCTGGGGGGGTCCCTGGGGGTTCAGAGGGGGTGACTCGGCCCCCCCCCAGCGGGATGTACAATGGGATCGGGCTGAGGGGTGTGGGGTCATTGGGGGTGGGTGTGTACAGGGGTGTCAGGAGGGGGTCTGGGGGTGTCAGGAGGGGTCTGGGGGTCCCAGGGGGGTCCCTGGGGGTTCAGAGGGGGTGACTCGGCCCCCCCCCAGCGGGATGTACAATGGGATCGGGCTGCCGACGCCGCGGGGCAGCGGCACCAACGGCTACGTCCAGCGCAACCTCTCGGCCCTGCGGCCCAAGAAAGGGGGGGCCGGGGGCTCCGGGGACCCCCCCCCCGGCGAGGAGGAGCTGAGGCGCCTCGAGGCCGCCCTGGCCAAGAAACCCAACCCCGACATCCTCGACCACCAGCGCAAGAGGAGGGTGGAGCTGAAATGCCTGGAGCTGGCTGAGCTCATGGAGGAGCAGGGGTGAGAGACCCCCCAAAAAAACCCCAAAATAACCCCCTGAACCCCCCCAGTGCCCCCCTGCCTGGAGCTGGCTGAGCTCATGGAGGAGCAGGGGTAAGAGATCCCCCCAAAAAAACCCCCAAAATAACCCCAAAATAACCCCCTGAACCCCCCAAATACCCCCTGAACGCCCAGGGGTGAGAGACCCCCAAAACACACCCCAAAATAACCCCTAGACCCCCAGTGCCCCCCTACCTGGAGCTGGCTGAGCTCATGGAGGAGCAGGGTAGAGATCCCCCAAAATAACCCCAAAATAGCCCCTGAACCCCCAGTGCCCCCTACCTGGAGCTGGCTGAGCTCATGGAGGAGCAGGGTGAGAGAACCCCAAAAACACCCCAAAATAACCCCTGAACCCCCCAGTGCCCCTGAATACCCAGGGTGAGACAGCCCCAAAATAACCCCAAAATAACCCCTGAACCCCTCAAATACCCCCTGCCTGGAGCTGGCTGAGCTCATGGAGGAGCAGGGGTGAGAGATCCCCCTTAAAAACACCCCAAAATAACCCCCTGAACCCCCCAAATACCCCCTGAATGCCCAGGGATGAGAGACCCCCCCAAAAAACACCCCAAAATAACCCCCTGAACTCCCCCAGTGCCCCTGAACGCCCAGGGGTGAGAGACCCCCCCAAAATAACCCAAATAAGCCCAAAATAACCCCCTGAACCCCCCCAGTGCCCCCCTGCCTGGAGCTGGCTGAGCTCATGGAGGAGCAGGGTGAGACAACCCCAAAAACACCCCAAAATAACCCCCTGAACCCCCCAAATACCCCCTGAATGCCAAGGGGTGAGAGACCCCCCCCAAAATAACCCCCTGAACCCCCCCAGTGCCCCCTGCCTGGAGCTGGCTGAGCTCATGGAGGAGCAGGGGTGAGACCCCAGAAATAACCCCAAAATTATCTCTGTGACCCCCCAAAATACCCTAAATTACCCCCAAATCCCCCACATCCTCAACTCCTTATTTGCCCCCTCAAACTCTCAAGTTCCCCTCACCCTCTTCCTTAACCCCCAAAACCCCCTTTAGACCCCCCCAAACCCCTCAGGGACCCTCCCAAATTTTGGGGCCCCCTGACCCCCGTTTTCCCCTTTCCCCCTCAGCTACTCGGCCGAGGAGATCGAGGCCAAGGTGGCCACGTTCCGGACGATGCTGCTGGAGAAGGACGAGGGGCCCGGGGACCCCGAGCAGAAACCCACGTGAGTCACCCCCCAATTCACACCCTGACCCCTAATTAACCCCCTGACCCCAGATTAAGTCCTAATCCCTCCCCAATTAGTTCCTAACTCCCCCAATTAATTCCTAACCCCCTGCAATTAACTCCTGAGCTCCCCAATGAAGCCCTGAGCCCCCTCAATGATCCCCTGACCTTCCCTAATGAACCCCCAAACCCCCAATGATCCCCTGACCCCCCCAATTAACACTACTGACTCCTTAATTAATTTGTGACCCCCCCAAATTAATTCCTGACCCCCCCACAATGAACCCCTGATTTTCTTTAATTAACCCCTGACCCTCTTTAATTAACCCTGACCCCAATGAACCTCTGACCCCCAATACCTACTGACTTCTCAATTGTGACCCCAAATTAACTCTGATCCCTCAATGAACTGACCCTCTAATTAACCCCAAATTAACTAATTAAGACAGAGAGTAAGTGTGCAGTCTTGATGGTGTGGAACTATGCTTTAATTAACTAATTGATTAGCTAATTATTTTAGAAGGAAGGAGTGCGGCCTGAAGGGCAGGGGTGGAGTTTGAACCCAAGGGGCGGGGTCTGGAAGAAAGGGTGGGGCCTGGAGGAAAGGGCGGGGCCTCAACGACCAGAGGTGCTCTTTCCTCATTAATTAACTAATTAATTAACGTTGTGCCCCCCCTAATTAGTGTGACGGAGACGCACCAGCTGGCCGAGGCCAACGAGCGCAAGAACGAGCGGCTGCGCGCGGCCTTCGGCATCAGCGACTCCTACGTGGACGGCAGCGCCGTCGACCCGCCCGCCGCCCCAAGGAGCCCCCCGCCGCCCCTGAGCCCCCAGGTAACCCCAGAGCCCCCAGAGTGACCCCAGTGCCCCTTTGTGCCCCCAGAGTGACCCCAGAGTGACCCCATAGCCCCCAGAGTGACCCCAGTGCGCCTTCGACCCCGCCCGCCGCCCCAAGGAGCCCCCCGCCGCCCCTGGGCCCCCAGGTGCCCCCACAGTGACCCCATGGCCCCTTTGAGCCCCTGAGCCCCTAGGTACCCCCACAGTGATCCCATGGCCCTTCTGAGCCCCTCAGAGCCCCCAGGTACCCCACAGTGACCCCAGTGCCCCTTGAGCCCCCAGGTACCCCCACAGTGATCCCAGTGCCCCTTCAGAGCCCCCCAGGTACCCCCAGAGCCCCCAGAGTGACCCCATGGCCCCTTGTGCCCCCGCCGCCCCAAGGAGCCCCCCGCCGCCCCTGAGCCCCCAGGTACCCCCAGAGTGACCCCATGGCCTTCTGAGCCCCCAGAGTGACCCCAGTGCCCCATTGTGCCCCCAGAGCCCCCTGAGACCCCCAGGTAACCCTTGAGACCGCAGAGTGACCCCAGTGCCCCTTTGTGCCCCAGAGCCCCCAGAGTGACCCCAGTGCCCCTTTGTGCCCCCCAGAGCTCCCTGAGCCCCCAGGTACCCCCAGAGCCCCCACAGTGACCCCAGTGCCCCTTGTGCCTCCCAGAGGCCCCCTGAGACCCCAGGTACCCCCAGAGTGACCCCAGTGCCCCTTTGTGTCCCCCAGGTACCCCCAGAGTGACCCCAGTGCCCCCTTTGTGCCCCCAGAGTGACCCCAGTGCCCCCAGGTACCCCACAGTGACCCCATGGCCCCTTTGAGCCCCCCAGAGCCCCCAGAGTGACCCCAGTGCCCCTTTGTGCCCCCTGAGGCCCCCAGGTACCCCCAAAGCCACCCAGAGTGACCCCAGTGCCCCTTTGTGCCCCCTGAGTCTCCCAGGTACCCCCAGAGTGACCCCAGTGCCCCTTTGAGCCCCCCTCTTCCCCAGCACAGCCCTCGAGCCCCCAGGTACCCCCAACCCCCCAGGAGAGGCAGGACCCCCAAAGTGACCCCAGGGCCCTCATTCCCCTCCAAGCCCCCAAAGTGACTCCCAGGGCCTCCTTGCCCCCCCCAGCGGCCCCAGAGGAGTCGAGCCGCGCTCGCCGTCCCCAAGCAGAAGAAGAAGAAGAAGAAGAAGGATCGAGCAGGTGGGATTTTTGGGGGTCGGAGGTTTGAGGGGGTCGGGGGGTTTGAGGGGTCAAGGGGCACTGGGGGGCTGGGGAGAAAATTTGGGGGTCAAGCAGTGATTTAGGGGGTTTCAAGGGGGTTTGGGGGTCCTGGGGGTTCAGGTGGGTTTTGGGTGTACTGGGATGGGGGTGAGAGAGAATTTGGGGGTCAAGGGGGTGATTTAAGGGGATTTTGGGGGTTTGTGGGGATTTTGGGGGTCCTGGGGAGTCCTGGGGTGGGGATTTTGGGGTGTTGTGTTGTTTGGGGGTTTCAGGAAGGATCTGAGGGTTCAGGGGGTAAATTTGGATGGAGAATTTTGGGGGGGCATTTGAGGGTTGGGGAAGGGGAAATTGGGGTGTTTGGGGGGTTTTGGGGGTGTTCTGGGGGGTCTCCAAGGCCTCCCCACCCCCCCCAGGTCTGCGAGTCGCTCCGGGGAGAGGAAGAAGAGCAAGAAGAAGAAACACAGGTGAGGGGGGGGCTTAAACTTGTCACTCAAAAAGGGGGAGGGGCTTAAACATGTCACTCAACTCAGGGGGAGGGGCTTAAAGCTGTCACTCAACTCAGGGGGAGGGATTTAAACCTGTCACTCAGGTGAGGGGGAGGGGCTAAAATATGTCACTCAGAAAAGGGGGAGGGTTTTAGACATGTCACTCAAATGGGGAGGGGCTTAAACCTGTCACTCAGAAAAGGGGGAGGGGCTTAGATCTGTCACTTATCTCAGGGGAGGGGCTTAAAGTTGTCACCTGAGAGGGAGGGGTCAGCACCTGTCACTCAGGTGAGGGGTGGGGTCACACAGGTGAGTGGGTGAGGTCACACAGGTGAAAGTGGGCGTGGCCAACCTGACCCCACCCCTTTTTCTTCCTCCCTCCCCAGGTCCGAATCTGAGGCCAAGAAGCGAAAGCACCGGTGAGTGGGGAGGGCCGGATTTTGGGGGAGGGAGGGGCCGGCTGGGTGGGGCCTGGGGGCGTGGCCTCTCAGATGACATCACTGATGACATCACTGCCCCTCCCCAGCTCCCCCAGCCCCAAGGCCAAGCACAAGGCCAAGGAGAAGAAGCGCAAGAGGTGAGACCCCCACCCCCAAACACCCCTCCCCCCGCCACCCATCGCCTCCCCCTCTCACTGTGCGCCCCTCCCCGGGCAGGTCCACCAGCCAATCTCAGAAGCCGGAGCGCTCTTCCTCCCGGCCGGCTCCTCCTCCTCCTCCGCCTCCTCCGCAGCAGGTAACGCCCTCCCCACCCCCCATCCCCTTCCCCCGCCCCCTCACACCGCCCCTCCCCCACCCACCACGCCCCTCCCCCGCAGGTCCCGCAGCGCCACGGCCCCGCCCCGACCCCGACGCCGCCGGCGGTACCGCCGCAGCCGCGCCAGGACCAGGAGGAGCCGGCGCCGCCCTCGGCCCCCCGGCCGCCCCGCCCGCCGCAGGTGAGCGCCGGGGCGTGGCCTCGGGGAGGGGGCGTGGCCCCTTCTCACCCCGCCCCTCTCGCCTTGTTAAACCTCCCCCTCCTCGTGGTTAATTTTGGGTTTTTTTCTCCCGTCTGTTTCTTTTGCAGCCGCAGCCGCAGCCGGAGCCGCTCGCGCCGTCGCCGGCCCGTCCCTCCCCGGCGTCCCCGCGGAGCCGCCGCCCGTGAGGAGCCCGGCCCCGCCGCCCTCCCCAAACCCGCCTCCCTCCCCGCCCAGCGCTCCTCCCCTCCCCACGCCCCTCCTCCCCTCAGACGCCCCCGGCCGCCCCACCACCGGCACCACCACCACTGGCACCGGTGCTGCCACCCGGGCGTCGTCGTCGCGGCGCTCGCGCTCGCGCTCCCGCAGCCGCTCCCGCTCCCGGCGCCGCGGCCCCGCGGCTCCCGCCGCTCCCGCTCCCGGCCCCGCCCCGCCGCGCTCCGCTCCGCGCCCGGCGCCGCTCGCGCTCCCGCACCCCGCTCTGGACGCCCAACGCCACCTCCCCCCTGCGCTGGCCTCTGGCCGGCGGCACGCCGCCCTGGCCGCGCCCGCCCCGGCGCCCGCGCGCTCCGCTCCCGCTCCCAGACCCGCCGGCACCGCCTCCCGCTCCCGCTCCCGCCGCCTCCTGACGCTGGGGACTGATCCCGATCCCGCCTCCGCTCCCGGCGCCGCCTCCCGCTCCACTCTCCGGAGATCGCGCGCCCATCCGGAGATCCCGATCCCGATCCGCCGATCCCGCTCGCTTCTCCGCCGATCCCGCTCCCGATCCGCGATCCTGATCCCCTTCGCCGATCCCGATCTCTATCCGGCGCTCTCGCCTCCGGCGCCGCTCCTGCTCCGCCCTCCGGAGATCCCGCTCGCCGATCCGCGCGTTCCCGCTCCCGCCGCCGCTCCTGTTCCCGGGCCGCTCCCGCTTCCCTCTGCGCGCTCCCGCTCCCCTGCGCGCTCCCGCTCCCGGCGCCGCTCCCGCTCGCTGTCCCTGTCCTCGAGCGGCGGTACCGGCACAGCGGCGGCCGCCGCAGCCGCTCCGAGTCCTCGGGCAAGTCCCGTGGCCGCGGCGGGGCGGCGCCGGCGCAGCCGCTCCTCTCCTCCCTGCCCAAAGCGGGCGCGGCCGCGCCTCCGCTCTCCTGCCGGCGCCGCCGCGGCCCAGCGACAGCCCTCCCCACCCCCGGCCCGCGCCTCCCCACCCCCCGCCCCCAAAATGGCCCCCCCGCCCCGGCGAGACCCCCCGCCCCGCGTGCCCCCGCGCCCGCCCGGCCCAAGTGGGTGCCCCTGGCCGAGCTGCACCCGGCGGCGCCGCAGCCCCCGCCCCGGGCGCCCAGGGCCCCCAAGTGGGTGCCCATCGGAGGGGGACCCAGCCCCTCCCCCCGCAGCCCGCCCCGCCCGGCACCGAGGCGGGGACCCCCAAAGCGGCCGCAGAGGGGACCCCCGGGGGCGCCAAACCCGCCCAGGAGGGGGCATTGGGGACCCCCGGGGGTGCCAAACCCACCCAGGAGGGGGCATTGGGGACCCCCGGGGGTGCCAAACCCACCCAGGACGGCACCCTTGGGACCCCCGGGGGTGCCAAACCCACCCAGGAGGGCACCCTGGGGACCCCCAGTGTCACCCCCCAGCAGTGTCACCAAACCGGCCTCGGAGGGGACAGCAGGGACCGCCGGTGTCACCAGCACCAGTGTCACCAGCACCAGTGTCACCCCCCCTGCTGTCACCCCCCCTGCTGTCACCAGCCCTGGTGTCACCACCTCGAGTGTCACCCCCCCTGCTGTCACCAGCCCTGGTGCCACCCCCCCGGTGACCCCCAGCCCGCCCAAGGCGGTGACCGCGGTCACACCGGGGGCGGATGAGAAGCCCCCGGCCGAGGGGGCGTCCCCAGGGGCCACCAAAGGGTCCCCGGGGCCACCCAAGGGTGATGACCCCAAAGCGGGAGCCGAGGCCGCCAAACCGACCGTCAACGGCACCAAACTGGCCGTGCCCGAGAGCAAACTGGGAGCGGGGGACGCCAAACTGGGAGCGGGGGACGTCAAACTGGGCGCCGGGGACCTCAAACTGGGCACCGGGGACACCAAATTGAATGCTGGGGACACCAAACTGGGTGTTGGTGACGCCAAATTGAGTGCTGGTGATGTCAAATTGAATGCTGGGGACACCAAATTGAATGCTGGTGATTCCAAATTGGCCATTTGTGACACCAAAGTGGCAGCTGGGGAGGTCAAATCGGCTGCTGGTGACACCAGATCAGGGTCTGGGGAGGTCAAATTGGCCCCTGGCGACGCCAAACCGGGTGCTGGTGACGCCAAACCGGGTGCTGGTGACGCCAAACCGGGCGGTGGTGACGCCAAGGTGATGCTGTCCCCTCCCCGGGCCGTCCCCAAGGCCGTGTCCCCGACTGTCCCCAAGGTGGAGGTGACCCCCGCCCTCCCCAAGGCCATGCCGGCGTCCCCACCGTCCCCAAATCCCCGCGGACACCAAGCCGCCCCTCCCCCTCCCGCCGCGTCCCCGCCCGTCCCCAGGACCCCCTGAGGCCAAACCGGCGGCACCGCGCAGCGAGGGCCCCCGGGCGTCCCCCCGTCCCTCCCGGCCGTCCCCGCGGGCGCGCCGTCCCGCCCCGCCGGGCTGCCGCGGGCGCTGTGCCGGGCGGGGCCGGCCGTGCCGGGCTCGCTGCTGCCGGCGGCGCGGCTCAGCCTGCCCTCCTCGCCCGTGGCCGCCTCGGCGCTGCCGCCCCTGCTGCCTCCCGCGGCCCTGGGGGCTGCCAGGGCTGGGACACGGCTCGGCCTGGCCAGGGGCACCCCCGGTGACATCGCCAGGGCCGCCGGCGCCGTCGGCATCGCCCCCAGGGCCGCCGCGGGGGGCGTCACCACCAGGGCGGCCGCCGCTCTGGGGGCCACCAGTGCTGCCCACGTCACCATGGGGGCCACCAGTACCACCCTGGGGGCCACCAGTACCGCCCTGGGGGCCACCAGTGTCACCAGTGTGGATGGCAGGGGCATGGGTGTCGCCCCAAGAGCCGCCGGTGTCGCCGCCGGTGTCGCCACCGGGGACAGCAGAGCTCAGGGTGGCACCGTTAAAGCCACGCCTGGGGACGGCGCCGTCACCTCCAGGGCCGGCGGTGCCACCGCGGGGGTCACCAGCGTGGACAGCAGGGTCAGCGGTGCCACCAGTGTCACCAGTGTGGACAACAGGGTCAGTGGTGTCACCAGTGTCACCAGCGTGGACAGCAGGGTCAGCGGTGTCACCAACGTGGACAGTAAGGTCACTGGTGTCACCAGTGCAGACAGCAAGGTCACCACTGTCACCAACACAGACAGCAAAGCCACTGTTGTCACCAGTGTCACCAGTGTGGACAACAAGGTCACCAGTGCCACCAGTGTCACTGTTGGTGCCACCAGTGCAGAGAACAAGGTCAGCAGTGTCACCAACGCAGAGAGCAAGGTCCCGGGTGTCACCCCCAGCGCCTCCAGTGTCACCGTGGGAGCCGCCACCGCTGTCCCCAGCGTCGTCCCCAAGGCCAGCGGAGCCACCGCCCTCAGCCCCGGCGTCACCGGCGTCACCCCTAAGGCCACCAGTGTCACCACAGGGCCCACCAGTGTCACCGTGGGAGCCACCAGTGTCACCCCTGGACCCACCAGTGTCACCACAGGGCCCACCAGTGTCACCGTGGGAGCCACCAGTGTCAGCACAGGAGCCACCAGTGTCACCACAGGAGCCACCAGTGTCAGCACAGGAGCCACTGGGGCCACCGGCGTCACCACTGGACCCACCAGTGTCACCGTGGGAGCCACTGGGGCCAGCAGTGTCACCGTGGGAGCCCCCAGGGCCACCCCCCTGCCCAGCCTGGTCCCCAAGGCCACCCCCCCCAGTGTCATCGTGGGGGTGGGCGCTGTCCCCAGGGCCACCCCCGGGGTCCCCGCGGGCGTCAGCCCCCTGGGCGCCGCCATCCTGCGCGCCAGCGCCGCCGCCACCGCCAAGGCCACCGCCATGGCCACCCTGGGCGTGCCCAGGGCCACCAGCGCTGCCGCCAGTGCCACCAGTGTCACCAGTGTCACTGGAGCTACCAGTGTCACCAGTGCTGCCACCAGTCTCACCAGCGCTGCCACCAGTGTCACCAGTGCTGCCACCAGCGCTGCCATCAGTGTCACCAGTATCACAGTCACCAGTGCCGTCACCAGTGTCACCGCGCTGCCACCAGTGTCACCAGTGTCACCGGAGTCACCAGTGCTGCCATCAGTACCACCAGTGCTCTGCGGGCCAGCAGCGTGGATGGAGCCGGGAGCGGCGTCCTCAAGGCCACCAGTGCCACCAGTGTCGTCACCGGCGGCGCCGCCCTGGCCACCAGTAACACCAGTAACACCAGTAACACCAGTAATGCCAGTGCTGTCCCGGTCATCGCGGCTCCCGCTGTCACCAACAAGGCCACCAGTGCTCCCAGTATGAGTGGCACCACCATCAGGGCAGCCACCAGTGCTCCCAGTGTGCCCTGGGCTCCCGGGGTCCCCAGTGCTCCCAGTGCTCCCAGTGTGCCCCGGGTTCCTGCTGTGGGCGGTGCTGGGGGCGTCACCGGTGCCACCAGTGCCACCAGTATGGCCAGTGCTGCTGTTCCCAGTGCCACCAGTATGAGCGGTGTGAGCAGCCCTGCGGTTTCCAGCGTCACCAGTGCAACCAGTGCGACCACTGCTGCTGTTCCCAGTGTCACCAGTATGGCCAGCCCAGCGGTTCCCAGTGTCACCAGTATGGCCAGTGCTGCTGTTCCCAGTGTCACCAGTATGGCCAGCTCTACAGTTCCCAGTGTCACCAGTACGACCAGTTTGACCAGTGCTGCTGTTCCCAGCGTCACCAGTATGGCCAGCCCTGCAGTTCCCAGCATCACCAGTATGGCCAGCGCTGCTGCTCCCAGTGTCACCAGTGCGACCAGTATGACCAGCCCTGCGGTTCCCAGTGTCACCGTTATGACTAATTCTGCACTTCCCAGTGTCACCAGTGCTGCTGTTCCCAGTATGACCAGTATCACCAGTGCTGCTGTTCCCAGTGTGACCAGCATGACCAGTGTCACCAGCGCTGCATCTCCCAGTGCCACCAGTGCTCCCAGTATCACCGGTGTCACCAGTGCGGCGTCTCTGAGCGTTTCCAGTGTCACCAGTGCCGCCAGTGCTGCATCTCCTGGTGTCACCAGCGCTCCCAGTATCACCAGTGCTGCGTCTCCCAGCGCTCCCAGTGCAACCAGTGTGGCCAGTGCTGCGTCTCCCAGTGCTCCCAGTGTCGCCAGCGTGACCAGTGCTGTGTCTCCCAGCGCTCCCAGTGTCGCCAGCATGACCAGTGCTGTGTCTCCCAGCGCTCCCAGTGTCACCGGTGTCACCAGTGCTGCATCTCCCAGTGCTCCCAGTGTAACCAGTGTGGCCGGTGTTGCATCCCCCAGTGCTCCCAGTGCTCCCAGTGCCCCCGGCGAGGCCGCCAAGAGCTCTTCGTCGTCGTCGTCGTCGTCGTCCTCGTCATCCTCGTCCTCGTCGTCCTCGTCCGACTCCGACTCCGACTCGAGCTCCAGCTCCTCCGAGTCGGCCCCGCCCTCGCCGGCCCCGCCCACCGGGTAAGGCCCCGCCCCCGGCCCCGCCCCGCCCTCCTCGTTAACCCCGCCCTTAACGCCCTCCAGCCCCGCCCACAGCAGCTGAGGCCACGCCCACTGCGGATGAAACCCCGCCCACGAGAGGCGGCCACGCCCCCTTTGTGTGTCAGTCCTGATTGGGTGAGACCCCTCCCCCCCCAATGGTCCCGCCCCCGCTGACACGTGGCCACGCCCACAAAGCAGGGCACGCCCCCTACGTGCTTGGCCACGCCCACATCGGCTCAGACCACGCCCTGTCATTGACCGGAATGAGGCCACACCCCCTTTTGCACCTGGCCACGCCCACATCAGACCCCACCCCATTGCGTGAGGTCCCGCCCCCTGCAATGAGCACACCGGGAGAGGCCCCGCCCCTCCTGGGGCCTGACCACGCCCAACCCCAGGGGTCCCCAAGGGTCCCTTCAGGGGGGTCCCCACATCCCCAAGGACCCGCCCACCCCATCCTCGTGTCCCCAAGGGTCCCCTCGTTGGGGTCTCCCATCCCAGGAGTGTCACCCACCCCTGTCCTGTGTCCCCAAGGGTCCCTTCAGGGGGTCCCCACGTCCCCAAGGGTCCCCTGCTGGTGTCCCCAGGGTGTCACCCCCTTACACCTCGTGTCCCCAAGGGTCCCCCCATCGGGGTCCCTCGTCCCTGAGGTGTCACCCACCCCCGTCCCACATCCCCAAGGGTCCCACAGCTGGGGTCCCCGTGTCCCCAAGGGTCCCCCTGTCAGGGTCTCACATCCCCGGTGTGTCACCTACCTGTGTCCCCTCTCCCCAGGGGAGTGTCACCCACCCCTGTCCCACGTTCTCTAGAGTGTCCCTCCTCCCCAGGGCCATCACCCAGTGCTGTCCCTGTGTCCCCAGGGGTGTCCCCTGCCCCTGTCCCCAGGGGTGTCCCTTCCGCCAGGGCCATCACCCACTGCTGTCCCTGTGTCCCCATGGGTGTCCCCTCCCCCCAGAACTGTCACCCACTGCTGTCCCTGTGTCCCCAAGGGTGTCCCCCCTCCCCCAGGACCATCACCCACTGCTGTCCCTGTGTCCCCACAGGTCCCCGAGTGCCGCCGCCGCCACCGCCGCCACCGTCACCGTCCCGGCCGCCCCGGCGGTGCCAGCGCCGCCCCCCGGCGAGGCCGCGGAGCCCCCGACCCCCGGCCAGGGCCGCGAGGGCCGCGCCCGGCGCAAGCGGCGCCGCTCGTCCTCCTCCTCCTCCTCCTCCTCCTCCTCCTCCTCGTCCTCCTCGTCCTCCTCCTCGTCCTCCTCGTCCTCCTCCTCCTCCAGCTCCTCCTCCTCCTCTTCCTCCTCCTCCGGCTCCTCGTCCTCTTCCTCCTCCTCCTCCTCCTCGTCCTCCTCCTCCTCCTCCTCGGACGAGGAGGGTCCCGCTGAGGCCGCCGCCGCGCTGAGACCCCCGCACGGTACCCGAGCCCCTCCCCGCGGCCCCGCCCCCGAGGCCACGCCTGCGGCCGCCCTCGAGACCCCTCGGCGACCCCCGGGAGCCCCCGAGCGCCCTCCCCCGGGGACCCCTCGGCGCCCGCCCCTCCCCCACGGCCGCCTCGGCGCCGGCCACGCCCCCGCCGCGGCCACGCCACCACCGCCACCGCCGCGGCCACGCCCACCTCGGCCACGCCCCTGCTGTCCCTCACCCCGCCAAGCCCGCCCTGGTGGGCGGAGTCACCGCCTTGCCCCGCCCCCCGGGGTCCCTGCTGGCCCTCACCCCCGCGGGGGGGCGTGGCCTGCGCCCCTCGCCCCGCCCACCCCCGGGCTCTCTGCTCTCATTGGCCACCGCCCGCGGGGCGTGGCCGGCCGGGAGCGGCCCTTCCCCCTATTGGCCGCCCGCAGCCCCGGCTCCGCCTCCTTCCAGCGCGCGGCCACGCCCTTCCTGGCCACGCCCACGCGGGGAGGGGCGGGCGGGGGTGGAGCCCCGGACCCCCAGCCCCTTCCTGCGGGGGCGTGGCCGGGGCGTTCCCCGCCTGGGGGGCGGGGCCTGCCTGCACCGTTTCCACGGCAGCCTGGGGCGGGGCTGGGCTGCTCCGCGCGCCTGGGGCGGGGCCTGCGTGCACCGTTTCCACAGCAGCGCCGGCGTGGGCGTGGCCTCGGCGGCGGCGGCGCCAATCGGCTCAGCCCCTGCGGCCACCGCGGCTGCTGCTACCACGGCAGGGGCGGGGCCTCGCTGGCGGGGGCAGGGCCGCCCCCAGGAGCCCCTCCCCCTTCGCCATGACCCCCAGCATGGCCGCCAGGATGGCCCAGTACGGCCTGGGCTCGTCCCAGTATAACCTGGGCTCCTCCCAGTACGGCGCCGCCTCGGCCCAGTACGGCGCCGGCGCCTCCCAGTACGGCTCGGCCGGCGCCCAGTACGCCCCAGGCACCTCCCAGTACGGCGCCGGCGCCTCCCAGTACGGCTCCGGCGGCGCCCAGTACGGCGCTGCCGGCGCCTCCCAGCTGGCGGCGGGCGCCCAGTACCAGTACCACCAGTACGCCCAGCTCGCCTCCCAGTACTCCCAGTACTCCCAGTACGGCTCCACCGCCGCCGACGCCTCCCAGTGCGGGGCGGGGCAGGGCGGGGAGGCCGCCCAGTACGCGGGCACGGCCGCCCAGTACGCCACCAGCGCCGCCCAGTGCGCGGCCTCGGGGGCGGCGGCCGCGGCCGGGGAGACCTCCCAGTACGCGGCCCAGTCCGCCCAGTCCGCCCAGTACGGGGGTGCTGCCGGCGCGGGGAGGGGCGGCGGCCGCCTGGGGAGGGGGCGGCGGCCGCGGGGGCGGGGCCCAGGAGGGGCGTGGTCTGGGAGCGGGGGCGGGGTCAGCTGGGGAAATTGGGTGTCCCCGCCCCTGAGGGGCGTGGCCGAGCGGAGGCCCCGCCCCCTTCTAGGACGGAGGCGGAGTCTCGGTAATGGCGGCGCGCCGGAGGCTTCGGCCCTCCCCCAGCACGGGATTGGCTGAGGTGAGAGCGGGGGCGGGGCCGAGGGGGAGGGGGAACGCAGGGGAGGGGCTGGGGGATAATGGTCAATTTTTGGGGTGAAAATACCTGGGTTTGGGGTGGATTTTGGGGTTAAAGTGCCCGGTTTTGGGGTGGAAATGCCCGGTTTTGGGGCTGGGTTTTGGGGTGGAAATGCCTGGGTTTGGGGGTGGGTTTTGGGGTGGAAATGCCCGGGTTTGGGGGTGGGTTTGGGGGTGGATTTTGGGGTGAAAACCCACAGTTTTAGGGGTGGGGTTTGGGGTAATAATGCCCAGTTTGGGGGGGGTTGGGGTGAAAAGTCCCAGTTTTTAGAGGGAAGTTTTGGGGGATAAACGGTCAGTTTGGGGAATTGGGGTCTGGGGGGCGAATTCCCAGGTTTTGGGGTGGATTTTGGGGTGAAAAGGCCCAGTTTAGGGGTGGTTTCTGTGGTGAAAATAACCTGCTTTGGGGGGAGGATTTTGGGGTGAAAAGGCCCAGTTTTGGGGGTGGATCCGGGGGGCCCACGAAGGGACTTGGACTTGCTTTGGGGGTCATTGGGGGTCACCTTGGGGTCACTTTGGGGTCACATCTGTGGGACCACCTGGGGGGTCTCCTGGACCCTTTTTTGGGTGGATTTTGGGGTGATTTGCCCCTATTTGGGGGTCACATCCAGGGGGTCACCTCAGCCCACTTTGGGGGGGAGGGGAGGGCACATTTTGGGGGAGTTTGTGCCCCTCTTTTGGGGTTTTTACCCAATTTATGAGGGATTGGAGCCATTTTGGGGGCAGATTTTGGGGGTCTGGGGGCTTCATTTCTGCCCCATTGCAGGAGCCTCTGTGGGGCCGTGGGGGGAGTTGAGCCCAGAGGGGCCCAGATGTGTCCAGATGTGGGGTGAGCATTGATTGGGGGAGTTGGGGGTCAATTGACCCCACCTGGGGGGGTGAATGTGCCCAGTTTGGGGGTGAAATTTGGGTGAAAATGCCCAGTTTGGGGTGGATTTGTGGGGTTAAAATGTCCAGTTTGGGGGTGGATTTCGGGGTGAAAATGTCCAATTTTGGGGTGGATTTTGGTGTGAAAATTCCCAGTTTGGGGGTGGATTTCGGGGTTAAAAATGCCCGGTTTGGGGGTGGAATTTGGGTTGAAAATTCCCAGTTTTGGGGTGGATTTGTGGGGTGAAAAATGCCCGGTTTGGGGGTAGATTTTGGTGTGAAAAATGCCCAGTTTTGGGGTGGATTTGTGGGGTGAAAAGTGCCCAGTTTGGGGGTGGATTTTGGGGTGAAAATGTCCAGTTTGGGGGTGGATTTGTGGGGTTAAAAATGCCCAGTTTGGGGGTGGAATTTGGGTTGAAAATTCCCAGTTTTGGGGTGGATTTGTGGGGTGAAAAATGCCCGGTTTGGGGGTGGTTTTTGGAGTGAAAAATGCCCAGTCTGGGGGAGGGGGGGAATTTTGGGGGATTGGGAGCGACTTGGGGGGCACATTCAGAGTCACTTGGGGGCACAGTTGATGTCACTTGACCCCACTTTGGGGGTGGATTTTGGGGCCCTGCAGGGATTTTGACCCCCATTTGTTGGGTGGATTTTGGGGGTCCAAGAGGGGGGGTTTGACACCCATTTGGGGATGGATTTTGGGGGTCCCAGAGGGGGGGTTTGACACCCATTTGGGGATGGATTTTGGGGGTCCCAGAGGGGGTTTGACCCTCATTTGGGGGTGGATTTTGGGGCCCAGAGGGGAATTTTAACCCCCATTTTGGGGGTCCCAGAGGGGGTTTTAGCCCCATTTTGGGGGTCCCAGCAGTGATTCTGGGGGTGGGGAGGGGCAGAATTTTGGGGTCCAGGCTGGGGGTCTCACCTGTGCCCCCTTGCAGGAGCATCTTGGGGGTGAGCTGAGCCCCACTTGGGGGTCAGAGCTGTGGGGCCCAGGGGGTGAGTTGAGCCCACCTTGAGGGGGTGGGGGTGGGGAGGGTTTTCCCTCCCCCGTGTTTGTTGTGAGTGGCTGTCGATGGTTGTGGGGCAGAGACCCCCCCGAGGGGCTGGGAGGGGGTCAGTGGGGTCCTGAGCAGGATGTGGGGCAGGACAGGGACGTGTGGGGCTGGTTATGGGGCCGGGAGAGGATCTGGGGGGGTGGGGAGGGGATCTGTGGGGCTGGAAAAGGATTTGTGGGGTTCTTGATAGGATATGGGTTTGGGAGGGAGTTTGTGGGGTTGGAAAAGGATTTGTGGGGTTGGAAAAGGACCTGGGGGTTGGAAAAGGATTCGTGGGGGTTCTTTATAGGATTGGGGGGCTGGGAGGGAGTTTTTGGGGGCTGGAAAGGGATTTGTGGGGCTGTTTGTAGGATGTGGGGCTGGAAAGGGACCTGTAGGGGCAGGGAGGGATTTGTGGGGCTGGAAAAGGATTTGGGGGTTCTTTATAGGATTGGGGGCTGGGAGGGAGTTTTGGGGCTGGAAAGGGATTTGTGGGGGTTCTTTGTAGGATGGGGGCTGGGAGGGAGTTTTTGGGGTTCTTTGTAGGATGTGGGGCCGTGAGTTGTGCCGTGGGGCCAGGAGGGATCTGTGGGGCTGTTCCTGGGGAGGGGGTCCCATCACTCCCGGGGTCCCTTTGGGGGTCCTGCTCTGGGTCACCCCCTCCCCGTGTCCCCCCTCAGGACCCTCTGAGGACCCTCCGGAGCCGCTCCGGGGCCCCGGCGGCCGGTAGGTGTGGGGAGGGGCACACCCCGCCCTTCCCCCTTCAAGATTGGGGGGTCGAACCCCCTAAAATGGGCCAGACCCTCCCCACCCCCAAAAATCCCCCTGTGGGTCCAGACCCCTCCCCAAAAAGGGGCCGCCGTGGGTCCTCCCGGCCGCTGGGGGCGCTGTGGGGCGGCCCCGCCCCTCACCCCTCTCTTCTCTTGCAGCTCCGCCCCCTCGAAGCTCCGCCCGTCTGCAAACCCCGCCCCCTTTTCCTCCTCAAGCCCCTCCCACTTCTCCACAAACCCCGCCCCCTTTTTCCTTTCCAGGTCCCGCCCAGCGCTGTTCGAGCCCCGCCCTTTCCTCGCAGACCCCGCCCCTTTTCCTTCCGAGCCCCGCCCCCTTTTTTTGGACGTTGTTTCCCTTTTTCCCCCAAAGTTTTGTTTTACATTAAAATGGTCGAAAAACGGAGTGGGCGTGGCTTGACTGGGGGCAGGGCTTATCTGGGGGCGTGGTTTGTGACTGGGGAGGGCTTGGGTGGGTTTAGGGAGGGGAGCCCCCAAAAGCCACAAAACCTCTCTTGGGACCCCCAAAACCCCCTCGGGACCCTCCTGGGACCCCCAAATTCCCCCAATCCCCTTTTGGGACCCCCAAACCCTCCCAGGACCCCCAAAAATCCCCCTCCCCCAGCCCAAGGAGCCGCTCAGAGGGACCCCAGATGGAGCCGCAGGGGAGGGGGGAGTTTATTTTGGGGAAGGGGACACACAAATGGGGAGGGGCGCTCAGGACACACACGGGACCCCTCCCCCACCCCCCTCAAAATCACACTCGTGTGACCCCCAAAACGTGAGACCCCAAAATACATGTGTGGGACCCCCAAAAAACGTGTGGGACCCCCAAAATACATGTGTGGGACCCCCAAAAACGTGTGGGACCCCCAAATACACGGGTGGGACCCCCAAAACCCCCCAAAACACGTGTGGGACCCCCTTGGGACCCCCTAAAATATCCAAACCATGACCAGACCCCTCCCCCAACCCCTTTGTAGCCCCCAAATCCCCCTGTTGGGGTCTCAAAATCCCCTTAAGCCCCCCAAACTGCCCCAAATCCCTTCCCAGGGGGTCCACGACCCCCAAAACCCCCAAAGCTCCATTTGGGACCCCCAAATCTCCCCCAGGATGGGGAGGGGTCCCACAACCCCAAATCTCCATTTCAACCCTAAATCCCCCAAAAAAACCTCCCACAACCCCCAAACTCCCCCAAATCCCAGGGGGTCCACGACCCCAATCCCCCGAGGTATCAGGGCAGGGGGTCGGTGGCGGCCCGGTCGAGTCCTGGGGCTTCATCACGTCCGGCAGCTCCGGGGGGCTGGAGAAGGGCTCGATCCTGAGCCCCTCGAGCGCCTCCTCTGCGGGGGAGGGCACGGCGGGGGTCGGGGGGAGGGGAACCCCAAATCCCCTCCCCCACCCCAAAATCACCCTCGGGGCCTGAAAATCCCACCCAGGAAACCCCAAACCCCTCCAGAACCCCCAAAATGCCAAAGGACCCCAGAAATCCCCAAAATCCCCCAGGAACCCCCAGAATCCCCAGGAACCCCAAAATACCCCAGAAACCCCCAAATCCCTCCAGGACCCCCAAAATCCCTCCAGGACCCCCAAAATCCCCAGGAACCCCCAAAATACCCCAGGACCCCCAAAATACCCCCAGAAACCCCCAAATCCCTCCAGGACCCCCAAAATCCCTCCAGGACCCTCCAAAATCCCCCAGGAACCCCCAAAATCCCTCCAGGAACCCCAGAACCCCCAGGAACCCCCAGGACCCCCAAAATCCCCCAGGACCTCTCAAACCCCCAGAACCCCCAAATCCCCTCAAATCCCCCAAATCCCCTCAAAATGACCCAAAGAGACCCCCGGCCTCCCAGCCCCACTGACCCCCTCCTGAGGGCCAGCCCCACGGTGGCCGGGCTCCCAGGACCCCCAAAACCCCTCCAAACCCCCAAATCCCCCAAATCCCCTCAAATCCTCAAAATGACCCAAAGAGACCCCCGGCCCCCAGCCCCACTGACCCCCCTCCTGAGGGCCAGCCCCACGGTGGCCGGGGCCTGGGGCCGCGCTGTTTGACTCGTGAAGCCACAATCGCCCAAAGTCTTCGAGTCCTCGAGGAGCTGATCGTCCTGGGGGGGCAAAAACACCACAAATTCACCTCAAAAACCCATCCTGATCGTCCTGGGGGGGCAAAAACACCCCAAAATCACCCAAATTCACCCCAAAAACCCACCCTGATCGTCCTGGGGGGGCAAAAACACCACAAATTCACCCCAAAAATACACCTTGGGACCCCCCAAACCCACCCTGATCGTCCTGGGGGGGCAAAAACACCCCAAAATCACCCAAATTCACCTCAAAAACCCACCCTGATCGTCCTGGGGGGGCAAAAACAGCAAAAATTCACCCAAATCCACCTCAAAAACCCACCCTGATCGTCCTGGGGGGGCAAAAACACCACAAATTCACCCCAAAAATACACCTTGGGACCCCCCAAACCCACCCTGATCGTCCTGGGGGGGCAAAACCACCAAAAATTCACCCCAAAAAACCCCCCAAATACACTCAGAGACCCCAGAAATACACTCAGGGATCCCAAAAACCCCACCCTGATCGTCCTGGGGGGGCAAAACCACCCCAAAATCACCCCAAAAAACCACTCTGATCGTCCTGGGGGGGGTAAAAAACCCCCAAAATCACCCAAATTCACCCCAAAAACCCCACCCAGGAACCCCTAAAATGTGTTTTCCCCCATTTGAACCCATTAATCCCACTTTCCCCCCATTTTTACCCATTTTACCCCCTTTTGCCCCCCATTTGAACACATTTTTAACCCATTGTAACCCATTTTTAACCCATTTTAACCCATTTTAACCCCATTTTAACCCCATTTTTAACCCATTTTTAACCCATTTTAACCCCATTTTTAACCCATTTTTAACCCATTTTTAACCCATTTTTAACCCATTTTAACCCCATTTTAAACCCATTCTAACCCATTTTAACCCATTTTTAACCCATTTTAACCCATTTTCCCCCATTTTTAACCCATATTTTACCTTATAAAGCCTCTGGTGCTCTGGTGGCCGGTGCAGGATGCCCCCAGCCCCATTTTTAACCCATTTTCCCCCATTTTATACCTTATAAAGTCTCTGATGCTCCGGTGGCCGGTGCAGGATGCCCTGCACGATGCGTTTGAGCTCCAGGACGGTGGAGGATTCCTTGGCCTCGGTGAAAATCGTCGTCTTGTGGCGCCGGATCATCAGGAACACGTCCTGGGGGCGGGGTTAATGGAAAAAAGGGCGTGGCCAAGCAAAAAAGGGGCGGACCCATCCGTGTTGGGGGCGTGGTTAATTCACGTAGGGGCGTGGTTTAACCTTATAAGGCGTGGTCTACACGCGGGGGGCGTGTCCTCCCCGAGAAGGGGGCGTGTCCTGCCCATATAAGGCGATTGGGGGCGTGTCTTACGGCGTGAAGGGGGCGGGGCTAGCGAAACGGGGGCGTGTCCTCCTCTGAGGAGGGGGCGTGTCCTGTCTATATAAGGCGACTGGGGGCGTGTCTTACGTTGTGAAGGGGGCGGGGCTCTCGAGAGGGGGGCGTGGCCTCCCTGAGGGGGCCCCGCGAGGAAGGAGTTGGAGGGAATTTGGGGGGGATGGGGAGTCCTGTGGGGGTTTCTCCTCCCCGTTTGGGGCTCTCCAGGGTGGGGAGGGTCCCGCCCGCCCCGCTGAGCCCCCAGGGTTTATTCCGAGCCCCCGACCCCCAAACCCCCAAAAATCCGTCCCTACCATCGCGGCCGCTCCTCCGGCTCCCTCAGCGCCGGGTCCGCCGCGATCCCAGCGGCCCCCGCGGCGCCAACGGCGCAGGCGCAGCCGGCGAAACCACGCCCAATTGGTTATTTATTTTATTTAATTTTAAGTCGCCATCTTGGGAAGGTCCGCGCCGAACCCTCGGGGAGGCGCCGCCATCTTGGGAAGGTCGGGGGTTTCGCGCCATTTTGTGAGGGTCGGGAGCGGCCGCCATTTTGTGTGGGGAGCAGGCGCCATCTTGGGGAGGGAACGGGGGGGATTTTAGGGGATTTTGGGGATTTTAGGGAGTTTGGGGGATTTAGGGGAGTTTGGGGCGGGTTTTGGGGGTTGGGGTTTTTGGGGTTGGATTTTCGGGGGTTTGGGGATTTTAGGGGTTTTGGAGCGGAGTTTTGGGGGTTTGGGGTTTTTGGAGGTTGGATTTTGGGGGTTGAGGGATTTTAGGGGTTTTGAGGCAGTTTTTGGGGGTTGGGGGTTTTGGGGGTTGATTTTTGGGGGGTTTTGGGGGTTTTAGGGGATTTGGGCGGTTTTGGGGGGTTAGGGCGAGTTTTTGGGGGCGTTAGGGATTTTGGGGGTTGGATTTTTGGGGGTTTGGGGATGATTTTAGGGGGTTTGGGGGGATTTTAGGGGAGTTTGGGGGGTTTGGGGGGGTTGAGGGTTTTGGGGGTTGGATTTTTGGGGGTTTTGGGAGATTTTAGGGGGTTTAGGGTTTTTGGGGGTTGAGGAGTTTAGGGGGTTTTGAGGGATTTTAGGGGAGTTTGGGAAGTTTTATGGGGTTTTTTTGGGGGTGGGGCTTTGTGGGATTTTAGGGAGGGTTGGGGGATTTTAGGGGGTTTAGGATTTTGGGGGGTTTGGGGAGGATTTTAGGGGGTTGGGGAGTTTTAGGGGTTTTTTGGGGAGGGGTTTGGTTTGGGGGATTTTGGGGGATTTTGGGGGGTTTTGAGGGGTTCTGGGGGATTTTAGGGGGTTTGGGGAGTTTTAGGGGTTTTTTGGGGGTTTTTGGCTTGGGGGGATTTTGGGGGGGTTGGGGGTTTGAGGGGTTCTGGGGATTTTAGGGGTTGTGGGAGTTTTGGGGTTTTTGGGGGGGTTAGGGGATTTGAGGGAGTTTTGGGGTGGTTTGGGGGATTTTAGGGAGGTCCTGAGGGGGTTTTAGGGGGATTTAGGGGATTTCCTTCCCTCCCCCCAAATTTGGGGGCGCTCGCCCTTCCCCTTTCTCCCCCTCCATATTTAGGGTCCCCCGCCCCTCCCCCCACCCCGTGGCTTCACCCCCACTTTTTGGGGGGGAGGGTGGGTGTGTCCCCTGCCCCTCCCCGCGTGGGCGAGACCCGTCGGACGGCGTCGCCCCGCCCCTCCCCCACGCCGCCCCTCCCCCACCCCCCGCCCCCATTTAAGGGGGTTCCCACGGGGGGGGAGGGGCGGCCCGCGGGTGTTTGGGAGGTTTTTTTTTTGGGGGGGCGCGATGGGGACCCCGAGGGCCCTCCTGCCCCTCCCCCTCCTGCTGCTCGTGACCCTCGGCTGTGACGTCACGCCCCGGGACCCCCCCACGGGTAAGATTTGGGGAGGGGGAGGGGGGGGGTGTTTCTTTCTTTGGGGTTCCTCTCCTTTCTGGGACCTGATTTTGGGGGGTTCCAAGGTGGGATTTTTGGGGTCCCCCCGGTTGGGATTTTTGGGGTCCCTCCTTTTTGGGACCCCATTTTTGGGACACCCCCGTATGGGATTTTTGGGGTTCCCCCTTTCTAAGACCCGATTTTTGGGGTTCCCTTTAATTGGGACCCCATTTTTGGGGGTTCCCAGGTGGGATTTTTGGGGTGCCCCCTGAATGGATCCCGATTTTTGGGGTCCCCCCCTTTTTGGGACCTGATTTTGGGGGTCCCTGAGTGGATTTTGGGGTCCCCCCGCTGAAGTTTTTGTGGTCCCCCCCTTTTTGGGACCTGATTTTTGGGGGTCCCCTGAGTGGGATTTTGGGGTCCCCCCCTTTTTGGGACCCCATTTTTGGGGGTTCCAAGGTGGGATTTTTGGGGTCCCCCCCCTTTATGGGATTCGATTTTTGGGGGTCCCCGCTGGATTTTGGGGTCCTATGGAAGGGGGGGGGAGGATTTTGGGGGGTCCCGGGGTGGATTTTGGGGTCACTGGGGGATTTTGGGGTCCCGGGGGGGGTAAATTTGGGGGTTCACCCCCTCGTGACCCCCCCTTTTTCTAACCCTTCCCCCCCCCAGATGGGACCTCTGAGATGTCGGAGACCGAGTTGGGTGAGTCCCAAAATGTCCCCAAATGACCCCAAAATGTCCCCAAATGTCCCCAAATGACCTCAAAATGTCCCCAAATGACCCCAAAATGTCCTCAAATGACCCCAAAATTACCCCAGAATATCCCCAAATGACCCCAAATGACCCAAAAATGTCCCCAAACAGCCCCAAATGTCCCCAAAATGTCCCCAAATGACCCCAAAATGTCCCCAGATGGCCCCGGGGGGGTCCCCAAATGTCCCTCCCCCATCTTGGGTGACCCCCTCCCCAACTCCCTCCTGACCCCTCTGATGTCCCCAAACTGTCCCCAGATGACCCCCAGGGGTCCCTAAGGTGTCCCCAATGTCCCCAACCCTCCTCCCCTGTCCCCAAAATGTCCCCAAAATGTCCCCAACCCCCCCAAAAGTGTCCCAGAGGGTCCCCAAAGTGTCCCCAACCCTCCAAAGTGTCCCCAAATTGTCCCAAAGTGTCCCCAAGTGTCCCAAAGTGTCCCCAAAGTGTCCCCAACCCCCAAAGTGTCCCCAACCCCCTCCCAGAGTGTCCCCAAATTGTCCCCAACTGTCCCAAAGTGTCCCCAGCCCCCAAGTGTCCCCAACCCTCCCCGGTGTCCTCCAGTGTCCCCAAATTGTCCCCAACCCCCCAAAGTGTCCCCAAAGTGTCCCTAAATTGTCCCCAATCCTCCAAAGTGTCCCCAAAGTGCCCCCAGAGTGTCCCCAAATTGTCCCCAAAGTGTCTCCAACCCCCAAAGTGTCCCCAGAGTGTCCCCAACCCCCAAAAGTGTCCCCAACCCCCTCCCAAAGTGCCCCCAATGTCCCCAACCCCCCAAATTGTCCCCAACCCCCAAAAGTGTCCCCAAAGAGTCCCCAACTGTCCTCAATATCCCCAATCCCCATCCCAAGTCCCCAAAGTGTCCCCAAAGTGTCCTCAAAGTGTCCCCAACCCCTCCCAAAGTGTCCCCAAATTGTCCCCAAAGTGTCCCCCTAACCCCTCCTCCCCTCCCCCAGTGTGCGGCCGGCCGGCCCTCCCCCTCTGGTGCGGAACGGGGGAGGACGCGGGGAGGGCGGTGGCCGTGGCAGGGCAGCCTCCAGCGGGGGGCACCCACGTCTGTGGGGTGTCCTCGTGGCCCCCAGTGGGTGCTGACGGCGGCCCACTGCCTGCAGGGGTGAGCGGGGACCCCGGGGGCGGGGGAGGGGCAGGGGGTGGGGTGGGGTACCCCATACTGGGACCAGTTCTGGGGACCCCGGAGGCGGAGGGGAGGGGCAAGGGGGACCCGGGGGAGTGGGGGTGGGGAGACCCCATGGTGGGATCAGTTTTGGGGTCCTCAGGGGGTGGGGGACCCCATGGTGGGATCAGTTCTGGGGACCCCGGAGGTGGGGTGAGGGACCCATGGTGGGATCGGTTCTGGGGTCCTCAAGTGGGTGGGGGTGGGAGACCCCCATACTGGGACCAGTTCTGGGGTCCTCAGGTGGGTGGGGGTGATGGAACCTCCATACTGGGATCAGTTTGGGGTGCCATGATGGGTGGGGGTGGTGGGATCCCCATACTGGGACCAGTTCTGGGGTCCTCAGTGTGGGTGGGGGTGGGGGGACCTGATACTGGGACCAGTTTGGGGTGCCATGGTGGATGGGGGTGGTGGGACCCCCATACTGGGACCAGTTCTGGGATCCTCAGATGGGTGGGGGTGTTGGGACCCCCATACTGGGACCAGTTCTGGGGTCCTCAGGTGGGTGGGGGTGGTGGGACCCCATACTGGGTTCAGTTTTGGGGTGCCATGGTGGGGTGGGGGCTCCAGTTTCGGGGTTCCCACAGCTGGGTGGTGAAGGGGAGGGGCCATGTCCCCATCCCACCCTCCCCCACCCCCCTTCCCTCCCCCTGCAGGAGCCGGGACCCCCGGGCGTACTCGGTGCTGTTGGGGGTGCGGGAGCTGTCGGGACCCCCCGGGGTGGGCGTGGCCGTGCCCTTGGCCGAGCTCCTCCCCCACCCGGGGTACGCGGGCGAGGCCACGAGCGGTGACATCGCCCTGGGCCGCCTGGCCCGTCCCGTCCCCTACGGCCCCACCGTCAGACCCGTCTGCCTCCCCTCCCCCACCCTCACCTTCCCCCCCGGCACCCGCTGCGTCGCCACCGGATGGGGGGACGTCGCCGAGGGAGGTGAGGGGGAGGGGCTACAAAAAGGGGGGGGCAACTGGGGTGGGTTGAGGTCAACTGGGGGCAACTGGGGGCAATTGGGGTCAATGGGAGTCAACTGGGGTCAACTGGGGTCAGTGGGTGTCACCTGGGGTGGACTGAGGTCAACTGGGGTCAATGGGGGTCAACTGGGGGCAACTGGGGTCAACAGGCGAAAATTGGGGGTACCTGGGGTGGACTGAGGTCAACTGGGGGTAACTGGGGTAGACTGAGGTCAACAGGAGTCAACTGAGGTCAACTGGGATCAACAAGAGTCAACTGGGGGTAATTGGGGTCAATGGGAGTCAACTGGGGTCAACAGGGGTCAACTGGAGTCAATGGAGCTCAACTGGGGTCAATGGAACCCAACTGGGGTCGAGGCCACCCAACTGTGGTCAATGGGACCCAATGGGGGTCACGGGGGGTCAATGGGACCCAATGGGGGTCAACTGGGGTCAATGGGACCCAACTGGAGTAAAGGAAGGTCAAAGGGACCCAACTGGGGTCAAGGCCACCCAACAGGGGTCAATGGGATCCAACTGGGGTCAATGGGACCCAAGTGGGGCCAAGGGGAATCAAAGCCACCCAACTCGCCTCAAGGGGGGTCAATGGGACCCAACTGGGGTCAATGGGACCCAACTGGGCTCAAGGGCACCCAACTGGGGTCAATGGGACCCAACTGGGGTCAAGGGGGGGTCAATGGGACCCAATGGGGGTCAATGGGACCCAACTGGATTCAATGGGACCCAACTGGGGTCAAGGGGGGTCAATGGGACCCAACTGGGGTCAATGGGAGTCAATGGGGCCCAACTGGGGTTAATGGGAGTCAATGGGACACAACAGGGGTCAATGGGACCCAAGGGGGGTCAATGGGACCCAATGGGGGTCAATGGGACCCAACTGAGGTCAAGGCCACCCAACAGGGGTCAATGGAACCCAACTGGGGTCAAGGGGGGTCCATGCCACCTAAGGGGGGTGAGTGGGACCCAACTGGGGTCAAGGGGAATCAAAGCCACCCAACTGGGGTCAAGGGGGGTCAATGGAACCCAACTGGAGTCAATGGGACCCAACTGGGGTCAATGGGACCCAACTGGAGTCAATGGGACCCAACTGGAGTCAGTGGGACCCAACTGGGGTCAATGGGACCCAACTGGGGTCAAGGGTGGTCAATGGGACCCAACTGGGGTCAATGGGACCCAACTGGAGTCAATGGGACCCAACTGGGGTCAAGGGGGGTCAATGGGACCCAACTGGGGTCAATGGAACCCAACTGTGGTCACTGGGACCCAACTGGGGTCAATGGTCAGACCCAACTGGGGTCAATGGGACCCAACTGTGGTCACTGGGACCCAAGGGGGGTCCATGCCACCCAATGGGGGTCAATGGGACCCAAGTGGGGTCAAGGCCACCCAATGGGGGTCAATGGAACCCAACTGGGGTCAATGGGACCCAACTGGAGTCAAGGCCACCCAAGTGGGGTCAGTGGAACCCAACTGGGGTCAAGGGGGTTCAAGGCCACCCAATGGGGGTCAATGGGACCCAACTGGGATCAATGGGACCCAAGGGGGGTCAATGGGACACAATGGGGGTCAAGGGGACCCAATGGGGGTCAATGCCACCCAACTGGGGCCAAGGGGGGAGTCAATGGGACCCAACTGGGACCAAGGTGGGGTCAATGAGACCCAATGGGGGTCAATGGGACCCAGAGGCTGACCCAACTGGGTCAATGGGACAACTGGGACAAGGGGCCAATGGGCAAGGGGGTCAAGGGGACCCAACTGGGGTCAATGGAACCCAACTGGGGTCAATGGGACCCAACTGGAGTCAATGGGACCCAACTGGAGTCAATGGGACCCAATGGGGGTCCATGCCACCCAATGGGGGTCAGTGGGACCCCAATGGGGTGAAGACCCCCCCGGGTGTTCCCAGAGGGTCCAACCCCCGCCCCTCCCCCCAGAGGACCTGCCGGCGCCGCGGCGGCTGCAGCAGCTGGAGGTGCCGGTGCTGGCGCTGGGGCTGTGCCGGCGTCTCTACGGCACCGACCTGGGCAGGGCTCCTCCCCCGCCACATCCAGGACGAGACATGATGTGTGCCGGCACACGCCCAGGCGGCAAGGACACCCTGCAAGGTGGGAGAGGCAGAGGTGGGGACACCTGCAGGGTGGGGGAGGGGCAGCTTGGGGACACCTGCAGGGTGGGGAGGGGACACCTGCAAGGTGGGGAGGGGACCTGAGGACACCTGCAAGGTGGGGAGGGGCTGGGGACACCTGCAAGGTGGGGGAGGGACACCCGAGGGGGGAGGGGACATAGGGACACCTGGAAGGTGGGGGAGGGGCTGGCCTGGGGACACCAACGTGGGTGGTGATTTGGAGGACACCAAGGGGGATGGGGACACCACGAGGGGCCTAGAGGAGGACACCATGGGGGATTGGGGACACCTGCAGGGTGGGGAGGGACACCCACAGGGGTGGGACATGGATGGGGGGGACACACAAAACATGGGGGGGCTTGGTGGCACCTTGGGGGACCCCAAGGTCTTGGGGACACCGTGGGAGGGTCTGGGTGGCACCATTGGAGGTCCCCTCACCCAGCACCCCGGGACCCACTTGGACCTTTGCCCCCAGGGTGACTCCGGGGAGTCCCCTGGTGTGACCTTTGCCCTTTGCCCCCAGTGGGTGACTTGGGGGTCCCCTGGTGTTGCCCAGGGGGTCTCTGATGTGACCTTTGCCCTTGCCCCCCAGAGGGTGACTCGGGAGTTCCCTGATGTGACCTTTGCTCCCTTGCCCCCAGGGTGACTCCCCCGGGGTCTCCCCTGGATGTGACCTTTGCCCTTGGCTCCCCCCAGGGTGACTCGGGGGTCCCCTGGGTGTGACCTTTGCCTTTGCCCCCAGGGTGACTCGGGGTCCCTGATGTGACCTTTGCCCCCAGGAGTGACTCGGGGAGTCTCCCTAGTGTGACCTTTGACCTTTGCCCCCCAGGGTGACTCGGGGGGGGTCTCCCCTGGTGTGACCTTTGCCCTTTGCCCCCCCAGGGTGACTCTGGGGCCCTGGGCGTGACTCGGGGTCCCTGGTGTGACCCTTGCCCTTTGCCCCAGGGTGACTCCGGGGTCCCCTGGTGGCCGGGGGGTCCCCTGATGTGACCTTTGCCCTTTGCCCCCCAGGGTGACTCGGGGGGTCCCCTGGTGTGCCCGGGGGGGGGTCTCCCCTGATGTGACCTTTGCCCTTTGCCCCCCAGGGTGACTCGGGGGGTCCCCTGGTGTGCCCGGCCCGGGGCCGGTGGGTCCTGGCGGGGATCGTGAGTTGGGGGGAGGGGTGCGGGGTCCCCAAACGGCCGGGGGTCTACACGAGGGTCAGCGCCTACGCCCATTGGATCGCCCCCCGCGCCGGGGGCGTGGCTTTCGTCACGCCCCTCCCCCGCAACGGCGCCCCCTGCCGGCCCGGAGGACTCATCGACATCAGCATCGTCATCATCGCTGGGATCGTCCTGAGGAGGGTGGGGAGTTTGAGGGGGGGGTTGAGGGGGTTGAGGGAGGGGAGGGGAGGGTTGGGAAGGAAAACGGGGAGGGGGGAAAAGGAAATAAAATGTGCAAAAGGGAAATAAAAAAGAGAGGCTGTAGGGGTTTTTTTTTTTTGAGAGGTTGAGTTCCGAAATGGGGCGGGGAGGGGTCCGAAATTGAGGGAGGGGGATGGCGAAAAGGGGGAAAGGGTGGGTAGGATGGGGAAATAAAGGGGGAAATGGGGGAAAAGGGAATAAAATGGGGGAAAAGGGGAAAATGCAATAAAGTGGTTTAAATCAAGGGAAATAAAGTGGCTGAAAAAAGGGCAATGAAATAGAGACAAAAAAAAAAAAGAGGGGGATAAAATGGCAAAAAATAGAAATAAA